GAATTCACTTTCACACAAAAATCCCACTAGTCAGTTCATTAGAATTCTGATTAATGTGTTGAATAACTATTTTGTGAACTACAGAGACAGGAATGAATTTATTCGATAAGGATCAGTTCACGGTTATATGTATGTCTCTAAAAAGAGTACATTTACAGCCTTATTTGCCATCACAAGTCATCATGGACACTGGATGCTCTGATGAAATATTAGGATGGATACGAAAGGGTTTATTAGGCATTTACCTTTGGCATTTACTTTATCGTGAATACATGCCTGTTGTCTATATAACCATCAGAAAACATGTCTATTGTATAACAACAGTTCACTCTGTCTTAGTCTATGAGGCGGGTGTACTGCTCATCAGTCCGCTCCGTCCTCCTTTATGGTTGCGAGACCTGGTCACTGAGAGTGGAAGACATGAAAAGACTAGCTGTCTTTGATCATAGGTGCCTGCGTTCTATTTCCCGTGTAAAGTGGCATAATAAGGTGAGCAACATGGAGGTTAGGCGTAGAGTTCTAGGTAAACAGGGGAAATCAGTCGACGAAGTCGTGAAGCTACAAAGACTGAGATGGTTAGGACATGTGTTACGTATGCCAAGTCATCGCCTCCCTCGACGAGCAATGTTAGCGGATATAGGGTCAGACTGGAAAAAAGCTAGCGGCGGTCAAACAAAAACTTGGCCCCACCAGTCAATGAAATCCACAACAGTTGGTCTAAGCCACGTAGGAAGGTGTAGACTACCTGGTTGGGGTCCTCGGGACGGTAAAAATCTATGGTTGGAAACAATTGGTGACATGGCTCAAAATCGTTCTCAGTGGCGCAGATGCATCCACTCCTTGTGACTTATGATCTCCAATGAAACTGTTTTGTTCTTCGTTATTACTCCTCCTTTGTCTCACCCCTCTGCTCTCAGTTTCTATTATGCTTTTCTTGTACTTTCTTCTCTTGCTTCGCGTGCTACACGGAATGTGGCGACTTGAACTTCCGCACATTTATGCAAAGTTCTATGTCGAAAACAGACAGACAGACAGTCTATGATTGCAAGGTATAACCACTGAATGTAGAAGATGTTTTGTAAATATACACAGTTTTTCCAACCAAATCCATTTTCAAGAGTTGGTTTATGAGGATTAGATTTGTTTTTATACGAGTTTGACCACAGACTGATATCAGTTAGAGAACAGCTGAAAACCAGTCAGGAGTACTGGGCAGCCAGTTGTTTCATCCAAGTTTGGGAATCATTGGCAGTACACACGCACACACACACACACAAACCACCAGGCTTCGAACCCAAGACCTTTCGGTTACAAGGCTAGCAATGTCGTAGACCATTAAACCACTCACTGGGACCCAATCCAAAAGTCAACCCATGAATTCTAACTCCTGCCAATTCATGACAAAGCACAACCACTTCTTAATATCTTCTTCGATGAGTTATTGGCTCACCTTCAACCACCTGCTGTGCCCAACTGGTCACGGCTTCGCACTATAACCCCAGGCGGTAACTGCCTGAATAGGACCAGTCGATGGTGAGCATCAGATCAATTTTCAAGTATTGGTATCGTCACTTTCTTGCTTCTTTGTTTCTTGATTGTATAATATTTTCTTCTCCACCCCTTAATACCATTGTTGTAAACTTGACTTTTGTTCAACTTTAATTTTAGTTGAGCTCTTCTCAACTCTGTCAATTAGATTGCATCATTCAGCATGCATTACGTAATTTGTTATGTGAAATTTAATAATTATGACACATCTTTGGAAATATTCCTTTCGTTGCTAAGGCACTTTTTACTCTGTATATATATATATATATATATATATATATATCGATTGTACAGCCTAAGAATGATATCATTGATGAAAAGAGTAACACTCTTTGCTGAACTTCTTTTTCTTTTCTATAACTTAATAGGAAATTTTTAAGTTGCTTAAATGAAATAGAATAGGTATAGAATATATTACTTGGGGAGAGAACATTGATTTATAGACTTCTTAAGCTCCACCGATTGCATTGGCTATGGCTATTATGCATAATGAATTATAAACCTCTGATTGTTTGAACTAACAATTTTAGTTGATAAAGGACTAGGCAAGTAAAAAGTGTTGTCCACTCAACCACTGATTGATGACATTTAACCTCCTTTTTAATTTAAGTCCTTTCACACCTTAGACGGAAATACTTGGTCTGCATTCTGTTGACGTGTCAAGCTCCTAGTACTGGAGTTTTAACGATGATATGAGATAAAGCTCAAGAGGGTATAAAAATCACTCATTTTAATCAGTCTCAATAATATTATTTTTTTAAAGATTGCTTTATTATTTAAAGGAAGCCAGCTATCGAAATTCTAATGAAAAATAAAATGAAAATTATGAAATCAATGTAAATGTCATCGTGGGCAGATATCATTTATTCTTAAAATTTCAGTTCCTCAAGGATAACACCACTGAAATATTAAAGCAACGCCTAAGAAATACGGCGGTAAAAGGAGCGCTCAGTGAGGCTGAATTATGCTGTTTCTTGAAAACCACCTCTATTTCGTGTTCGAAAGTTTAGGATAAACTACCTAATTTCACCTCTCTACAATGTGTGTCTACAAGTTAGACTGCTCCTGTGGAGTGAACCAGTTATTTGCATATACCGTACAAGTAGGCGTGGTTCTCATAGGATTTCCAAAGACCACCCTGCAAAATGGTTAAGCAAGAGACAAACAAAATCAATTTTATAGTTCTACGTTTCCTGATCTCGCAGATACAGAACACAAAATTTCTGTAAACAAGGTGACTTTCAAAGTCATCTACTGCATACCAACTAGTCTTAACTTCGCCTTAAGAGTTTGTCTACTACATATTGCTAAGACTGGCTGTTGGGATCCACACTAAGACGCCTAACTTATGTATGTATCCAAAAGAAGAAGTTGGTTCACGTACTGTTCTTACTTACCTTGGCCATCAAGGTTTCAATAGTCCTCGATTTGTTGTAGAAATTTCCCTAATTTTATTTGATATTCTATTTACTATTGCGTTGTTATGCTTATTATTATTATAACTTATGCATCTTTCTTGAACTGTAATTCCATAGTGATCTTACTTAACAAATCGAAAGTGTTTCAGAAGCACCAATATTGTTAATGGCGATTATTCTAGAATAGTTTGTGCATATAAACATATCTAATTGTAGAGCCAGAAGAAGGTTCTTATCGAAAAGGATATTCTTTGCTCAGCTTTTTGTTTCTTCTAAATGTTTGAATGAATGTTTTCACTATATTTAAGTAATCATTAAAGACTATTAGATAGTGGACCGTTATTTCGTCCTAATTTGGAGGTCCTCATCAGTGCACACCAATACTCAAACCAAGAGTTGAACCTAGAACCTCATGAGGCGATTTCGTTAGCTAGTAATCCATTGGCTTGGAATAGAATCCAACAACTCTTCAATTCTAATTTCTGTCAGTTAAAAGTGTGTATCGATGTTTTACTGGTAAAATGCTTGCCAACCACGCATGTGGTTTTGATTAGATTCCCAACCTACGAACTTCTATACCCCCCCCACCTAGCCATTTGAAATCCTGGAAAGGAAGAAATGTTGAGCTGAGGCTAGCAATCCCATTCCTTAAGAAAATAACACTACCGCTAAGGACACTTCAAGACTCAATCGGCAAGCCTTATTTTCGTTCCACTTAGAGAACAAACCGATGAAATGTTTATCTTTTAAAACATAAATAAAAGACATGTAGGTGATAATTTCGCAGTGTTGAAACGAGATCTACACAGTTCATTCTTGGAGAAAACAACGAATTTATCTCCCAGAATCCAGTTTACTTCGTTCGGAAGCAGAATTAGACTTCGGTGAACTATCATTTCTAGACTGCCTGGCTAGTTAAGAAGGGGAAAAAAGGACATTTTCGTACATCTATATTCAAGAAGAAAAGCCACTCCAATAAATATTTAGATTTCAGATCACCACACTATTTCAGCACAAAGGTATCAGTTGTTTCAAGTCTTCTGATGTTAACGGATGAGAAAGAAAAAGAAGAATAAATATCAAACACCACTGAAATTGTCAAGCAAAACAAAAACCCAACGAACTTCATCAACAAAATCAGTACTTACATTAGGTATGATCGAGAAAGTATTCCGAAACCATGGTCCCCAACAGTTGTCATTCACTATAAAGCAGATATGTCAGACAATATCAAAAGAGTATTCGATAAGCTTGACATTAAAGTTTCCTTCAAAACATCAGATACAGCGCGAAGCAACCTTGTCCATGCAAACAACCGAATTCCTAAAGATTCTCCATCTAATTGTGTATATTAGCTGAAGTGATTGGAATGTGATGCGATATACACTGGACAAACATCGCCAGAGAGAAATCAAAATCAGAATAAATAAGCTCACCAGAACAACTCTTCGACCACCGAGAAATCCAGTTGAACTAGAAAAGTCTGAGAAACCATCAGCCATGGAAGGCTTACATTTTATAGAATCAGGTCACAAAATCATTTTTGACAATATTGAAATAATCCAAAAAAAGCATTTCAGAAAACACAAACAACGTCTCACATCATCAGAAGTACTTCATATCAAATGGAATCCAAATTGTCTGAATAGGAATGATGATGGACTGAAACAGAATTTGACCCTTCTCTCCCCCATGAAGTGACATAATCAACATGAATGTGATAAGCAATTTCATTATGAAAGCACACGCTGCAAATAAATAATTTTACACACTTATCAAATCCAACAATGTGCACCTGGTTTTGTTATCTTTACTAATTTTGTCAACTTGACAACGCAAAAATGATCCCATGCTGATGGATGACAATTAAGCTGAGTGGATTTTGTAAATTCTAATTTAATGTGACTACTTTGATAAAGCTATTAGCAGCAGCATTATTGAATAGCGGAATGTCAGTAAAACAATAATGTTTTTAATTCATTGGAAAATACAAAAGCAACCTTTATTATAGTGAATAAATAGTAGGGGACTTACTAATTCTATTAATATTTGACAGATAATATTAACCAATGTGTGAATAGCAGTCAGTATAATAAATATGATCTTATGATTACGTGAAATACTTTGATAAATTGTTGTAAATCCACTTCCAAGAACTAGCAGACTTGCATAGAAACAACTGATAGACAAGGCATAGAAGAATTTCGCTGTAAAATAAAATTATACAATAACAATAATAATATTAATGAGAATTATGCAAATTAAATCTTATTAAATGGTGTAAATTAAATACCTTTTTTTTTTTTAAAGAAAGTTATAACCTGTAAACTTCGCAGACGTCATTCAGGATGTGTTCCTAAATTTCAGTAAATAGTACAGACTGACTGCTCTTTTATTGCTTAGACAGAATAGATTCTTTCCAGGTAGACCTCTAAAATATTCACATCAGTAATTATTATATTCTTGTGTGATTTAATCTCAACTCATCTGATAAACGAAAGACTGCTTTAAGCTTTGAGGTTTCAGTAGTCGTGGTGTTGCCTTTTTTGACGGATTGGGGTTGCTTCGCACATACCACAGACCTCCTCACTTTTCCAGGCTTACTGTCAACTAGTTGATTTGACATGGTATAGAAATGTGCTGTCCAGGAATCAAAACTCTGACCTCCTGTGTGGTTAGCAACCATTTCTTCATTGAATTATCAATGTTTAGTTCGATTGCATGGAGGATTTAATCATGAGCTGACATCAGTTAGAGAACCACTGGAAAACCTGGGAGTACTGGACAGCTGTTTCGTCCTAGTTCGGGACTCTTCAGCAGTACGCGCCCACCGGGATTCGAACCCAGGACCTTCTGGATACAAGGCGAGCTCGTAGACCATTGAGCCACTGGGACCCGATCCAATGGTCCTTGAATTCTAACTTCTGCCATTTCACGACCAATACTTGAAAATGTTTAGTTCAAAAATTCTAAAATAATGTTGCGTTATCCATATTCGTTCTTACGGGTTTGACCATGGATTGATATCAGTTAGAGAACCATTGAAAACCAGCCAGGGATACTGGACAGCTGTTTCATTAGCCTAGTTTAGGAATCATTGCACTACTCCCAGCTGATTTTCAATGATTCTCTGACTGATATTATGTCAGTGGTCAAACTCGTATAAACAAATCTAATCCTTACTAACCAACCATTGAAAATTAATCTGATGCTCGCTAGTGATTGGCTGGCTACAGGACGGAGTTTCCTGGAGTTCTTGTGAAGAGTGGTGACTAGTGAGGTTCATCCAGTCAAGTGTGACGATGGATGTCCCACCGATGACATTGGTTGGTGCCAATCGCGCTGAGTGTATCACGAATCGGTCGAAGTTAGAATTTACGTGTTGGCCATTGAATCGAGTCCCAGTGAGTGGCTGAATGGTTTACGAGCTCGCTGGTCTTGTAACCGGAAGGTGCTGGGTTCCAACCTCAGTAGATGCGTACTACCAATGATTCCCAAACTAGTAGGGCACAACTGTCGAGTACTCCAGAGGTGGATTTGAATGGTTCTCTAAATGATATCAATCCGTGGTCAAATTCGTAAAAACAAATCCAATCCTTGCAAACCAAATGTTAAAAATTATTCATATTCGTTTGTTTATTATACATTGATAATACACACAAAGTGAACGCTGAAACTTAATTTTTATAATTTGAGTTCTTCTCTTTCCTATTTGTCGTATCGGCAGTAGAATTTTCAAGATAGACGAGACATGTGTCGTATTATTTCTATTTAAAAAGTTCTTATTGCGTATATTCTCAGTTATTTCGATACAGTAACAAAGATGACAGTTTTTATTATACCCCTGACAAAATGAGATCAATCTCTTAGGCAGATCTCTTACACAATATTTTTTTCAAAACCAATGAAGCAAAGGATAAAGTGTAGACAATACAAGAGATTACATAGTGAAACACATATCAGCGAATGATAGTTGTAGCCGACTGTTACCATCATGATTTTAAGACGTTGTGCGTCATGTGAGACTATTTTAGCAGTAAGTGCTTTTCAGATCAGTTATGCGACAGTGTTCACCTTTTCAAAATCTAAACAACAGCGATCTCCTTATATTACAAATCACATAATATGCTTACACCCATATATGTTCTATAGACTGTCTATAGTATTATAATGAAAGTAGAACCATACAAACTTAGAATAGCAATATAGTTTTGTTCACCTGACGTGAAGAACCTAGAAGACCTGGATTTCGCGGATGACTTATGTTTGATGTCACACACAATCGAAGACTTACAAGCGAAAACCGACCGACAAACTGGTCGAAGAAGCAGCAAAGACAGGACTCCAGGTAAACATAGACAAGACGGAGGTTATGAAAATAACCAACCAACAACAGCAACAACATCCAACGTCAATCACCATCAACGGGAGGGAGTTGAAAGAGGTTACTTCATTCACTTATCTAGGGAGCATTGTCTCAACTACAGGCAATCGGAACGGACGAGGATGTCAAATCGAGAATCGGGAAGGCGAGAAACACATTCATCAACCTGAAATCAATCTGGAAATCTTCGTCACTCAGCATCACCAACAAAATTCGGATTTTCAATACAAACGTAAAGTCAGTTCTTCTATACGGATCAGAAACTTGGCGGGTCACAAAGAATATTTCCAAAAGGCTGCAGACGTTTATTAACAACTGTCTTCGCTCAATACTGAAGATCAGATGGCCGGGCTGGGAAGAATCACCAACAAGGAATTATGGGAACAAACAAATCAAGAACCAATCGCCAACCAACAAATATGCAGGAGAAAGTGGAGATGGATTGGACACTCGCTGAGGAGACCGCTGGATGACATCGCGCGCCAAGCCTCGAGTGGAACAAGGCCGAAAGGGAAGCGGCGTGTGGAACGTCAGTGCAAGGGTGACATGGAGGAGATCGTGTGAAGAGGAGTTGAAAGAATATGGATTAACATGGATGCAGGCGAAAAGTATAGCAGAAGACAGAAGAAAATGGAGACGTGCAGTTGAAGCCCTATGTTCCACTAGGAACCCAAGGGAGCAATAATAAAATAATAATAATTTGTTCACCTCTCAGAAATTGACATTAAAGAACATTCGGTATTCTCTTGTCTAATTAAACAGATATCTGTACAAGTTCACTTGCCTAATAAATTTTAACTTCAATGGTTGGTTTTAAAGGATTAGATTTGTTTTTACAAATCTGACCACGGATTGGTATCAATTAGCGAACCATTGAAATCCACCACTGGAGTACTCAACAGTTGTGCCCTACTAGTTTGGGAATCATCGGCAGCACGCACCCACTGAGGTTGGAACCCAGCACCTTCCGGTTACAAGACCAGCGAGCTCGTCAACCATTCAGCCACTCACTGGGACTCGATTCAATGGCCAACACGTAAATTCTAACTTCGACCAATTCGTGATACACTTAGCGCGACTGGCACCAACCAATGTCATCGGTGGGACATCCATCGTCACACTTGACTGTATGGACCTCACTAGTCACCACTCCTCACAAGAACTCCAGGAAACTCCGTCCTGTAGCCAGCCAATCACTAGCGAGCATCAGAGTAAAGTAATAGTAAGCTAAGCAAAGATATCTTTTCGACGTTTTCGTCCTCAAAAGCTGTACAATCACGTTTTTTTTATACTTCTAGTCAGCCCGAAAGTCTATTTCCAAAGCATAACTGATATGTGTATAGGTTTAAAATAAAGCCTAATAAATAGAGATAATGCATTACAGTACAGACTACCGATTAAGTTAAATGAGCGGCTTGATGCCATTGACATCAATTAGTACTGCTTGTTAACAAGAAAGAAGTGATCTATACATTGAACAAGTAAGTATTTCGCCTATTTGTTGTCGAGCTTATCACTGATGTACCTGATGTTGACTCAGCCGACACAGTTGAATCAGTCAGAAATATTCTGATTTAAAAATAGAAAAACATAGAGAAATACAATGACCGATCTGTGTGAATGATCCTACTCAAATATGAGATTTTCTTTTATTCTTGGGAAGAGAAGAGGAATTCCATGAGCACAATGGGACTTAACAGTTCGGCTAGCTCAAATAAGGATATACAGATGTCTAAAACTTTAATTTCTATGAAAGGCTTGTATTGTTTTTTATACATTTTCGCTGCGCTGTGACACCATGCACACCAGGCGTTTGGCTGATATCCACATAGCGAACGAAGAGTTGGGCTTAATTCTGAGGGGAGAATGCGATGGAAGAGACCATGCGAGAATGAAATGAAAGCTAATAGGCAATCGTGGAGCCAGGTAGAAAAAGGACTTCAGAGAAAAGAATGAAATCGAGAAGGCCTGCTGAAAACGTGTATTCCATTAGGAACTTAAGGGAATAATAGTCATAATCCAATAAACGGCTCTGGGAACGAATCAGCCCAGCAGGAACCAGCTGTTAAACAATTATGCAGGAAGAAATGGAGGTGAATTGGTGGCAACACTCTGAGAAAACAAACCAACATCAAGTGATGTAACACGCCAGACTATCGCTCGAGTCGAAGCCGAATAGGAAGCGGCAAGTTAGTTAGTTGTCAGTGGTAGGGTGACGTCGAGAAGGAGGTCATGGGAAGAGGAGAGGAAAGCATGTGAACAGACGTGGAGGCAGGTGATGAAAAAGTTGACAGAGAACTGAACGCAATGCATATATGCGCCTAAAGCTCTATGTTCCTCCAGCAATTAAAATAGAGAACAATAATAATAATAATAATACGATAAAGGGCTTACTGTCCGAAAATATTATTTATTTTTGTACAAACTTACCTAATGATGTATTGAATGGATTAAAATATCCTGTTTTAGCAAAATTCACATCAACAATCAGTTGAATTAATTGAGCCAAAAAACGTAAACCAACTGATGAATACCATAAAATAATTGTAGGATGTAGTAATTTTGAACGATACAAGTGAACTGTAATCAAAAGACAGAGAGAGAGAGAGAAAAAAATCAATATTAACTGTCAGATTTTTTTAAAAATTAAAAATTAACAATAAGTTTTATTCTAATATAACAAATATTTCAGCTAAAAGGATCATCTCGGCGACTTCATTTTCCACTTTATCTGCTGTACAATCCCATTTATATACACACTGTTAGCAGCCTTCCAAAGACAAGATGCCTCTGTGTAATCTTCTATGTGCCACTTCAGCGTGCATACACAAGTTTACTTGCACGTGCAGAGCTAAGTACATCGGCCATACTATGTGCCAACTTGGAAAATGCGCTCGTGAACACTATCCCGCCTGGGTAGTAAAAGGAGAACGAAAACATGTATATAGCTCAGTGACAGAACATCTGGTCAACAACTCAGGACATTCAGCGCCATTCATAAAATCCTTCAGAATAATATACAAGATTCGATCAACCCTATCAAAGGGAGTAAAATTAAGACACTGGGGATAGCCGAGGCATTAGCTATCCAAAAGCTCAAACCCCCTGGCTATGTATCCAAAAGAAATACGTCCAACCCTTGTCTCTGCCAAGGCCGCCATAAACAGGTTATTCTTCTATTAGTGACTATCCCATTGACTTTCTTATCCAAACTTCCTGTTTATTCATGTTATTTTGAAGTTTTCCTTAATCCCTATATACACTACTATATTTTCATATCCGAACTTCCTGTCTATTTTGTCATTTTATTATTTCTACATATTTAATCCCTGATCGCATAAACATTTATTCGTCACATTTGTAACCAATCAAATCCCCCTACAAACAAACACTTGAATATCAATAAGATGCTCACTAGCGACTGGCCCTATTCAGGTAGGTAGTTATCTGGGGTTCTAGTGAGAAGTTTTAACCAGTAGGGTGCAGCAGGTCGGGTGTGAGGACAAATACTCGCCGAAGACATTGGCTGGGGTCGTGCTATGTCGTGAATTGGCAGAAGTTAGAATTCATGGGCTGGCCATTGGATCGGGTCCCAGTGGCTTAATGGTATACGAGCTCGCCTTGTAACCAGAAGTTGCTGGGTTCGAAACCTGGTGGTGGATGCGTACTGATGAAGAGTCCCAAACAAGGACGAAACAGCTGATTAGTACTCCTTTCAGGTTTTCCAATTGTTCTCTAACTAATGTCAGCTCAGGATGAAAATCCATAAAATAATAATAATTGTATGAAATTCAATTAAAACTTAAATGTTTGTGATTATAATCATAGTTCAATGTGATATGTAGAATAATTCAGAGGATGGATAGAACTTGAAAAAGGGTGTGCAGTTATAGGATTGGTAGACAAATCGAATAAAATAAAATAAAAACGTTACGTAATATCGTTTGAAATTTGATAGCATAGAATTTAACGTTGTAAAAAAGGAATTGATTTAGAATGACAAGTGGAACAAGTGACGCATATGTAGCCCTGATACTGTGGAAGATGAGTTATATCTTTTGAGGAAAATCCTAATAGAAAATGGATTTCCATCACGTTTTATAGATAACAATATACATTCAAATCCTATAAAACGTGACTTATCAGCCGTACCCAAGAAAATACTTTACATAAGCTTGAAATTCAAAGGGGTCTTAGCTTCCGATATCATGAAACGAAGGATACCATAGTCCCTAATAAGAACATTCCCTGCTGCATCTCTGAAAATAGCCTTTACTAGCCGACCATTACTGTTCAATAACCTAAAGGACAAGATCCCGCTGTTGACCAACTCTATGTGTGTTTATCAATTCACCTGCTCATGTGGAGCCAGGTATGTCGGTCGTTCGACTCGAGTTTTGTCCAAGAGGGTGAAACAATACTATCCTGCCTGGTTACGAAGAGGTGGAAGTGGAACAATAAGAAGCGCCACCATTGAACATCTGGTTAATAATGATCACCCTATCTCTGTAGTCTCCGTCTTTAAAGTCATCTGCAAGACAAAGAGTAATTCACCTAAATCACTACGTACCCGACTCATCTGTATTGCTGAAGCTTTGGCTATCGAAACAGAAAAGTCAGATCTCCGTGTACAGAAAAAGTTCGTTCAACCCCTCCAACTTTCATGGTCTTAATCCCTCTATGCTAAAGTATAGTAATCCCCAATCATAATTTGGCTCTATCAGTTTTTCATTTCTTCATTTTGTCTACTCAATTTGTATTCTCTTCCTTTATTGCGTCAATTGTTACTACTATTATTATTGTCACTTTGAACTGTCCCCGGTATTATTTCACTTGTCATTCTAAATCAATTCTTTTTTACAATGTTAAATTCTATGCTATCAAATTTCACACAATATTACGTAACGTTTTTATGTTACTTTATTCGATTTGTCTACTAACCCGGGCCAACCAGGCTTGTACTTCGGTGGCACAGTGGTTTAGACTCTCGCCGACCATGCAGATGGTCCGAGGTTCGATCCCCTGCCAACTCACACCTGATATCTATGGTCGGCCTACAAAATTTGGGCTACCGATATCACATGCTGAAAATTCCATACTTGTACCAATAATATAGTGTGTGTAATCGAAAAAAAAATTAATAAATAAGAAATAATTGCACACCCTTTTTTTAAGTTCTATCCATCCTATGAATTATTCTGTGTGTATGACATTAATTGTTTTGCCACTTGACATTTAACTATGATTGTAATCACAAACAGTTTAGTTTTGATTGCACTTCATACTACTATTATTATTTTATGCATTCACACCTATGATTCAATTCCTTCATCGGATATAATTTCTTAAAAAGCATTATATTTACGTTTGTACAGCTTGATGATAAAAAGTAAATCATCACATGACAAGAAAGTTCAAATTCCACGTTAGTTAATAAAAACGACCAACAGTGATCGATGTGAATTAACAGTCAATCACGATAATGGCTGTCAGAAGATAGAATGATGTCATCATTCATGGAGAATTCAAATGAGTTCATTTCATATTAAAGCCTCAGCTGAAGCGATGTTATCTAGAGATGGAACAACGAAGCTTTGCAACTAAATCAACCATCGGTCTCGGAGAACACAACTAATTCAAGATGCATTTCTATTGCATCAATCAATTTAGCTAAAAATTCTTTAAAAATACTTAGAGCTAAGCAGTTGTTGTGCATAAAAAAAGATAAAATAAACTTACAAAATAATAAATTTGCCATAAGAAATAATGATCCCAAAAATAAGGAAAATACCAAGTCGATTTCTAGTTTTCCTAAAAATAACAAATAAGAAAAGACAAAAACTAATAAACGGTCATAAATGGGTTAAATTATCCTTTCTTCAGTTATTCAGTTATCATCAGAAAATATATAGACACTAAGGGAATTTTCGAAAATCGTATTTTATTTTAAACACAGGTTTAGAAATAGAGTTATACCATGCCCCAAGCATTTAAGTGTTTGCATTCAGTCTATACTCCTTCTAATATTCGTTGGTTCTTACACATTATGGATAGATACTTGGCAATCTGCAACACTAGCACACCTCGAAAATTGGGCTGAAATCAATTATTTTTCATTTTGTCATCCGAATAGCTTAGTAAGGGCGTTGTGCCTGACTGCATCATCACTGGATGACCCGAGTCTGAATCTTAAAAGGGATATGAGTTCCTTGAAGGTTGCTGATGACCTTCAAGACTTTAAGAACTAATGGTTGGCAACTATTGATGGTATGGCTCAAAACTGTTCTCCAAGGTGCACATGTATTAACTCTTTTTGATTTCATTATTCTTCATGAAATTTATACTTCATACACTTATTGTCCTTTATGAGTCTGAATAAAGCAAGAACAATAGTTTGTGCAGAATAAGAAGATGGTACCATCATTGTTTATTTCGTTGGCTTCTCATCAGCTGCTTACAGCCTAAATAAATTATTATTAAGTTTATGTACAGAAACAGTTTCAACATGCTTGCAAATTTTACATGATGCCAGTTGACAGGAAGTTCCGAACTTTGTGAACAGTTCTCAGAAAATTAAGCTTATATATGTCGTGAATTGGCAGAAGTTAGAATTCATGGGCTGGCCATTGGATCGGGTCCCAGTGGCTTAATGGTATACGAGCTCACCTTGTAACCGGAAGGTCCTGGGTTCGAATCCCGGTGGGTGCGTACTGCTGAAGAGTCCCAAACTAGGACGAAACAGCTGATTAGTACTCCTTTCAGGTTTTCCAATTGTTCTCTAACTAATGTCAGCTCATGATGAAATCCTGAAACCAATCAAATCCCTACAAACCATCACTTAAGCTTATATAGGTTTGACACAGGCAATTCAAGTTTAAACAAAGTAAATGGTAGAGGAGTTACGTAACAAAGACGAGAAGATGAATAATTAATAGATTGGGTAAAAAAAACACTTGAATCCCGATTTGTGTGTTCAGAAAGAAGTAGTTATCAGTCTTTCCATTCTGGTAACAGGATGGCTTTATTCTCTCTTTTATTTGATTACGTAACCTCTAGCTTTAACCTCACCCCGCCCCTTCGATATAGTGTAATTTTGCTTGTCTCTTGTTTGTATGGTGTGAGTTGAACTTAGTAAATTGTTACCAAATGCATTAGTCACTGATTGTCTTACGCATCTCTTGTCTTCGTTATGTAATCCCTTTATCATTGTATGGATGCATTTACTTTGTTTTAACTTGAACTGCCTGTGTAAAAACTACATAAGCGTAATTTTGCTGAGAATTGTTCAATAAGTTCGGAACCTCTTGTCAACTGAAATCATATCAGATTTGCAAGTATGTTAAAATCTCTCTTTACATAAACTTAATAATATTTATTTAGATTCATACTTCTCCTATACACTTCCGTTCATTTATTTCCTCTGTATTTATGTAAGCTTTATAAATTGTAATAACTTAAACTGCTGTATTTTTGTGTAAAGTTCTCCGGTGAAAACTTGATTAGAGAGTGAAGCGACCATTGCCCAGTATATATTAGTAGTCGCCTGTCAAGCCATCGTTTACCTCAGTTAATCTCATTTCCAACCAACAATTTACTCCTGTATTTGCACTTCATTAAGGTTAAGACTGTGCGTCGGTGGCACAGTGGTTAGGACTCTTACCGACCATGCACATGGTCCGGTGGTTCGAGCCCGCACCAACGCACACCTGATATCTATGGTCGGCCTGCAAAATTTGGGCTACCGATATCCATGCTGAAAATTCCATACTTGTACCGAAAATACAGTGTGGAATCAGGCTGTAAATCAAAAAAAAAAATTTAACTAGACATTTAGTGATAGTTATATCTCACTCCTCATTCATGTGACAACCTGACCTTGATCATGATATATTTTTTTTATCGTTAGAAGGCTTTTGATAAAAAACATCGGTTACTTTTTTTGTGGACCTGGGATATGTGGGTAAAAACGTGGGTAGTTTTCCGTTTAAATGTGGGCAAAGTGGGATAAGGTGGGCTGTTTTCGTTTGTAACATGGGCAAAGTGGGAATAAGTGGGCTGTTTTCTAAAATGACATGGGCAAACGGGGAAAAAGTGGGTATATTTTGAATTCCTGCACATGGGATAAACGGGTGAAAACGTGGGTTACGTGGGAAAACTGGGAAAAGGTGGGGCAAACAAATTTTATCTGGACATGGGAAAACGGGGAAAAAGTGGCCTATGTGGCCAAAGTGGGTAAAATCGGTTGCATTTACACCATCTTTTGCCCACGTGTTTGCCGATCAAAATTACCCTTTTATCCCACGTTTGCCTATGTGCATTAACTGATCAGTTTAAACAAGTATGATGTCTGTGATTATTATTATTATCTCTGTGAGTTCCGAGTGGAACGTAGGGATTCAACAACATATCTCCACTTTCTTCTAGTCTCTGGCATCCTCTTCAGCTGGCTCACTCAACGACTAACCATAATCTCTCATCTCCTCCTCCTCCTCCAACTCACACGATCTCCTCCCTCCATGTCACCCTAACACTGATGACCCGCTTGTCGCTTCTTATTCACCTACCACTCGAGTATAATGGCCTGCACTGAGCGCGATGTCAATCAACGGCCTCCTTAAAATGACACAGATCATTCCATCTCCATTTCCTCCTCCTACATATTTGTTGAGCGATCGGCTCTTGCCTGTTGGTTTGTTCCCAGTAAGAGTTTCTTGTTACTAATTCTTTATGGCCGACCGACTGGCCATTTGATCTTCACTATGAAGCCAATGAAGTGGGCAGTTTTTGATAAATGTCTACAGTAGCTTATTGGAAATGCTTTTCCTACCGGACGCGCAGTTCAAGTTTCTGTGACGCGTATAAAAGAAATGACTGACTGACTTCACATTTTTGTTTAACAGAATCCAAATCTTGTTCTATATGTTGGCTGAGTGAGTGAAGCAGAAGGTGTGCGTATCTTGCCTTTCCGATTCTGGCCAGTTTTGAAATCTTCATCTGTTCCGACTGCCTTTGGAGGAAACTGTGCTTCCCAGCCAGATAAGTGAAGGAAGTAACTGACCTCTGTCAAACCTCTCTCGTTATTGGTTCTGGCTGTTGTTGTTGTTGTTGTTGTTGGAGATAGCTGGTTATCTTTCCTGTCTCCGTCTTATCTATGTTCACCTGGAGTCTCATCTTCTCTGCTTCTTCAGTCATTTTTTTCGGTTTTCGCCTACACCAATATAACGACCTAATACTGCCTAGCATGTCAGTAGAGTATCCTTTAGCTCAATCCTAATTTGAAACTGCTTTTTATTTCTTCTTCAGATTAAAGATGACTAAGGTATGAAAATTCAAACTGTATAGATGATACGAAGTACAGGCACATTCATCTTTGAAATACACAGGGAACCAAACGATGATTAATAAATTTGAAAATCGTTCTCACATTTATTCACTATTATCCTCTTGGTCTCCGAGTAAAATATAAGGCTTTGACAGCCTGTTGTCATTCCATTGTGCCCTCATTCCTTAGCTACACGACTGCCCATAGACTCTCACCTCCCCATCACACACACAATTTCTTCCAAGTTGTCATCAGACCTTAGTCTAACTCATCGTCTTCTTTACGACTTCTGTGCAGCTGCCTGACCTGCGACAGCATTTAACAACTTACTCAGCGCGCGTCTGATCCATCTCCATTCCCTTCAGCCTATCTGCTTGCCAACAGGTGATTGGTTGGTTCGTTACCTACCAGAATTCCTCGTTGCATATCCTTTCTGGTTGGTCTCGCTGATCTATAGTATGGAGCGAAGGCAGGTGTTGATGAAAGTGTGTAAGTGGATGTGAGTAACACACTCACCGAGTCTTTATACCACCTAAAGGTTCTGACCTGAAATTGGTGTTGAAGATCCTGATCCTGTTCTTCATGTTGAGTGCAGCAGACCTCTACACTGATTTCACATTAGTGAACATCTGACTCCCTTTTTCGGGCTTGGCTAACCCTGACATTCTCATCCGTGCCAACTGCATGTAGTTGAAACGATGGTGCCTAGATAAGTAAGAGAAGTGACTTCCTTCAAGTTTCTCCCACTAGTGTTGACTGGTGCTTGTTATTTTTGATTGTTGAGTGTCTCAATCATCTCTGTCTTCTCTATGTTCACTTGAAATTTCATCGTCACTTCCTCATCCTCTTGTCTTTTTATCAGTCAAACGCACATCTTTCTTCTCTCTGCCAACATCCCGCCTCAAACTTCACTACACCATTGTCAGGAATGTCATCGGTGATAATGGTCAGTGTTGTCTGACTCTCATCTTCACTTCAAAGGTGTCGCTGAATTTTTGCGTTGTGAATCACTGAACACGCGGCGTCATCATATACCTATTGAATGAGGCTGATGAAGGTTCCATCTACAAACGATACCAATTACTTTGGGGTAGACAGTTTCTCATCAGTCACAAAGCTTGTTATCTTGTTATTTTCACTTTAACACTATAATTGCAAAAATTATAGAAAATCAATCTAAACTGTCTAAATATTCAAGTTATCCCACCTGTTGATTTCCATCCTTGAATGAGATGATCTATTTTTAACCGATAGAGGGTTCATATTAAAAAAGAAACTAAGGGATACAAAGCTAAGTGAGGTCTAGAAAGTCCACCTAAAAATGCCACACAGCAGTGGTATTCATTCTGAAATCATTATATGCAAAACCTATGGGAAATAAACTAACCAAGAAACTCAAAGCTAAATTAGTTATGCTATAAAGGCATTACATCAGAAATCTGACTCCCTCTGCTTTAATCTGAGAGTTATTGATATGTGAAGGCTAATATACACTACATAGATGGTTACCTAAAAGTTAACCAGTAGGTTGTGATAATAATGATGCATAAACCCCCTTCTAAAAACTGAACAAAACTACAACAAGAAGTTTAGTAGCTACATTTTTTACCCTTGCTTTATTCAAGTTTTTAGATGGTTAGAGGGAGTCGACAGGAAACCTTTGACCTAGATTTTGTGCTTATTGTCACCTGTCGTCAAGGCGTACCTACAGTCTTGAAGGAACTCATGTCCTGTGTGAGATTTGAACTTGTGTCATCAAGCGCTATAGTCTGAGGCGTTACCACTGAGCTATTCTGCCTGGGACTGATCTCCTACAGGAGTGTATTGAATATTCTGATTGAACACTAGGGGGTATGCAACTAGTGTCATGCATCTAGTCTGTGCTTTAGTGTGGAATGAATTCTGTCAGTCAGGATTGTCAGTGGTAAGAATTATACGTGTAGGTTTTAAAGAAGCATACATCATTTATAAAAGACAGTCGCCATAGATATCATGAATAACGTTAAACGACACCAATATATTCCCTATTAACTTGAAGATTTAATTTCGAACGTTCTTCTTCTTCTTACAGTCCTGTTTCTTATGAATTCAAAGGCATGAAGCAAATCATCTACTCTGTGGCTAAGTCTTGAAATACTATTGGCTGCTTAACAGCTAACTTATTTAGAGGTATAGGATGTGGATATATGTGTAAAACTTGGGCACTTTGGTATTAAGTAATTCCATATTAGTTTGTTTATTAGATATATCACACAGTGAATAAACCACTATTATTTACTGAATGACACAGTTTCGAACAAAATTTATTGTTAATAATCATATTAGTTGTAATCACACGACTTTGAAACTTGAGTTTTATAGTTTTCTTTGTTTTCTCCTATGTAACTATAGGATGTGGCACAATCAGCAAAGACGGGACTCCAGGTAAACATAGACAAGACGGAGGTTGTGAAAATAACCAAACGACAACAACAACAGCAACATCCAGCGCCAATCACCATCATTGGAAGGGATTTGAAAGAGGTCACTTCATTCACTCACTGATCTAGGGAGCATTGTCTCAACTACAGGCAATCGGAACGGACGAAGATGTCAAACCGAGAATCGGGAAGGCTAGAAACACATTCATCAACCTGAAACCAATTTGGAAATCTTCGTCACCCAACTCAGTATCAACAACAAATTTCGGTCGGACTTTCAATGCAGACGTCAAGTCACTTATTCTATAAGGGTCAGAACCTTGGTGGCGGGTCACAAAGAATATTTCCAACAGCCTGTTGCTGACCTTTATCAACAACAACCGTCTTCGCTCTATAATGAAGATCAGATGGCCGGGCAGGAAAGAATCACCAACAAGAAACTATGTGAAGGAACAAACAAAACAAGAACCAATCGCCAACCAACAAATATGCAGGAGAAAGTGGAGGTGGATTGGACACTCGCCTAGGAGGCCACTGGGTGACATTGCGCACGCTTCAGACTATTGCTCAAGTGGAATCAGGTCGAAAGGGAAGCGGCGAGTGGGACGTCAGTGCAAGGGTGACATGGAGGAGATCGTGTGAAAAGGAGTTGAAAGAGTATGGACTAAGATGGATGCGGGTGAAAAGTACAGCAGAAGACAGAAGCAAGTAGGGACGTGCAGTTGAAGCCCCTTGTTCCACTAGGAACCCAGGGGAACAATAATAATATAATAATAATGTGGCGCAATAATAATAGTTAATTTGTAGGGGTTAGAAACAACTTATTACATAATCAATAACTTATAAAAGTAATAATAGTCATAAAGAGTATATAGTTAATTTATAAAAGAATACCAAGGTAAACTAGTAAACTCAGTCAACGTTCACAGGCTCAGTACACTAGTCATGAAATGCGTTTCCAAAGGCTAGATGCACACTTTCATTACCATCTGCTTCTGCTGACTCAATAATGAACATCAGATGATCCTCCAGAAAGGCTAAGCAACATTGGAACTCTACCAGGCAAAAAAAAACCATCCAAAAACCTATCACCTAACAAATATCCCTAAAGTAATGGAGATGGATTAGACATACGCCATGAAGACCTTCAAATGGTATCGCACTCCAAGCAGACCCTCAAGTGAGAATGGAATGAGAAGTGGCAAGTTGAGTATGGACGCTTCGGTGACTTGGAGGAGATCATATGAGGAAGACATAAAAGCTTATGTATAATCGTGGAGTCATTTAAAGCGAAGACTGCAAAGTACATGATGCAATGGAAATGTCTTACCGAAGCCCCAAGTTCTACTCGGGACCCAACAGAAAAATACCCGTACAATATATACTTACCAAATTCTTGTGTAGAAAAATGTTCACGGAAGAAATCGCCGTATTCACCATTTCTCAATGTTATCCGATAAGCTATTTTATCCCATAGATAAGAATATTTTGTTGTAATCAATGGTCTGTTTTCATTCTGAAATGAAGTAATAAATCAATAAGAGTGGATAGAATATTTTACATTTAATGCGAAAATGACAGTCTTCAGGATATATACATATCATGAACAATAACATATCTAACCTTTTCTTAGTCCACAAAAAGAGTTTACCAAGTGAATGAAACTTGAAATAACACAGTTCAGGTATACGTCATATATATTTGTTCATTTGCTTATTAATAAAAATATCTGCGTATATATGAATTACTGTCATATTGGTAGTGAAATTGTATAACCGTATGGAAATGGAAATGCAGTCTGTACACCGATTTAAACAATAACCAAACAGTTCTGGACAGCTGTTTTCTCCTCGTATGGAACAGTTCATCAGTGTTCACACATGGTCTTGGTGTGGATCGAATCCAGGAGCTTCGGGACCCCCTGATCATTCAGCCACAGGTTGTATACTGATGATTAGGTCCTATTGCTGGGGTAGTCTTGTATGCTGCCTGCTGAAGATAACGTAGCTAATAACACAAAACAGCTGTCCAGTTCTTCTTGGTTTCAGTGATTCTTTGTCATCCAGTTGTTAATACTGTATCATTACTCACAGTGTGCAATATTTGAAACAAACACGTATCTATTATGGAATTACATTCTATCACCACAGTGTCCAAGTTCTACACGTACATTAACTAATCAAATTGTTTGAAATATCCAACATGTGAATGTCATCTAGACTTCTCCAACTGCAAGAGTAATCACTCCGGTTAATTGATCGATTGTTAAGATGTATTCATTTAGCTGTAATCTTCTCTACTTCCTGTCGTAAATTAATCAAAAAGACAATGTCTTCAGCAGATACTTTGAAAAGATATTGTACTTAAGTTATCACACTGTGGTGTGTATTGTTCTACACTTTTTGAAAGCTGCTTTTTTTTAACTGTGATCAGCTTTCATTGCCGTCCACATGTCCTGGAGTTACTGCAGCACTATAAAATGTCACGTTCAAATAAAACATACACCTCATTTACATTAAGTTAGCATAAAACTTGTGCCTGTAAGTTCATAAAATAACTTCAGTAGTTTCCAAATCCCCATTCATATATTTAGAAGAAACAACAGGTTGAGAGAATAAATATACATTCCATTCCGATTAGTTTGTCATCATCATTTGAGTCTACACTAATATGTGGGGTTTTTTCACATCAAGTTATACAGGGCGAACGATTAGGCAAGTTTGTCGACAGTTTCGAGAACATTTACCAGCTTGGTTCAGCAGGGGGGGAAGTTAAGTGCATGAAAAGCTCGGTCCTGTCACATTTGGTCGATACGGTACATCGCATCGATGTCAACACAGCTTTCAGGGTTATATACCGAATTCCGAAGTCGTTATCACGTAGAGTTCGCTTACGTCTCCTGCACATAGCTGAAACCACTGCAGTAAGATCGACTAAATCGGAGGTTTGTATCCAAAAAGAACACGTCTAGACGCTGTTCCTACCATGGCCAAATTGAATTGATGATTCTTCTTCTCACCAAGAGTGCTTCCTCCCCTTAACCCTCTCATCTTTTTATTTCTTTGCTTATTATTGCAATTATTATTATTCGTCATAATTTATACCCTTCATGAAAACAGTCTCTCAACACTATCGAATTTTCCATTTATACTAGCCGGACTTATTATTATTAGTGGTACTATCTCTTTTCTCAATATATCCCTCCACCTGTTTCATTTTACACATTCGTTATTTCACTATGATCCTCTCTCACTGCGGTTTTACTATCTCCTATTTAATACATACCACTTTATACCAGCCACTCCAGCCACCTGACACCTTTTATAACCTTGAACTGACTTGTCACTTGTTTTCCTACCCCACACTCTACAAATCTATTATGACTAATCACCATCACTATTGTCTTCCATTTTATAATATACTTAAGACAATTGTTGAATTGAATTTTTGATTTTCCTGTCGATTGATTGGACCGAAAGGCTCAGTCTCAGGTGGACACGTCGGCTTCTTGTGCAGATGCTTCGACGATATCTGGGCATTCAATTAGTATACTCACTGAGAAATACAGATACACCCAGATGACGAGTCCCAAATAGGACGAAATGCGCTTTATCCTGGATTCCACTGCTAGCCACCATCCACCACTTGTATAATACTTAAGATAAACGTAATGGGGGAGTATTCTAGGAATCCAGAATGCTGATCAATGTTGTTTTCAACTATCCGGGAAACACCTTAGAATGCTAGACATGAAAGACTTGGACATAGAGTTTAGAGACCTTTGCACTGGTCTGTTAATGCTGTATTTAGTTTATTTCCTTTCTTAGCTGACACTTCTCAACTTATTTGTTTAAGTATATTTGTTGTGCTATGTTTCTGAGAAGTACGACATCATCCAATCGTTTATTGATCTTATACTATTGGATAAAGTGTAAATTATTTCACTGTTTGTGTTTCAGTTGTGTGTAGATCGTGTCTGTATTTTTGCAGAAGAATTAAGGAATAATGGATTGAGGCTATAACCCTTTCTTTGGGGGAAAACTGACATTTTCCAGTTAGATTAGAGTAGACGATTCATTTGATTTCACAGACCAGAAATACTGTTAATAGTAAACTAGAAATAAGTGAAAACCTTTTTTTTAAACAATGAACGGGAAGTAACTCTTAGGACAGTTATTTAGATTAATTACAAGGGTGCCTAAGTAACTGACTGGTTTCAGCATAGAACTTTGCACAGATGGGCAGTAAGTCTAGTTGCTACTCTCCCTCAGTTTGACATACAAAGAAAGAGAAGAGAGTAAATAGAAATTCAAAAGGTGGAGAGATAATAAACGGAAATATAAGGCAAAAAGAATAGTAATATGGAATTTTATTGGGTATTATAAATCGCAAATAGAGTCAATGCATCTGTGACAGACATTATTGAGAACGATTTTCAGTCATACCACTAACTGTCTGCAGCTGTCATTGGTTCTTACCATCCCGAAGGCCCCAACTAGCCAGTCAAGAAGTCCACACCTCCCTACGTGGGTGGCTTAAACCAACTGTTATGGATTTCATTGGCATTGACAAAGCCATACTTTGGTTTGACCACCACTACCTCTTTTCCAACCTGATCCATCCTATGTCAGCTAACATAACCGGTTGTCGAGGAAGGCGATCGATGGCTAGGGATGCATGCGTAACACTTGTCCTAACCATCTCTCTCAGTCGGTATAACCGTGGCTCCTAGCCCGCTATATGCTCTGATAGCATCCTCGTGACTTTTTCTTGTCAGATCTACCAATAATGATGGGAAAGTGAACGACACAATGGTTGCGTGCAAGGTTTGAAGAGAGCTGTATGCTATACACATCCTCCCAACCATGATAATGTTGTCTTAGTGATCCAACAGCAGAATGTTTGCCAACCACGTACATGTTCAGCTGCTCAATTCCCAGTTTTCTAGTCAATAGTAGACCCATGAAAGAGGGAATGTTTGGGAAATTAAGGCTATCAACCCCACCCTGCAGAAAAAAACAGCATCACATCTACTTAAACTTCAAGGCTTCATGTCTAAGGCGAAATGTTCCACTAAGAATACGAAAGAAGAATAACACAATATGAATACTACTCACATCTAGCATTGATTCATCACAATTATCAAAGGCAAAAAACCACCATGATGGTTTTTTAACAATTAGTGGTATATATGCTGATTGACAATAGATCCATTGACTTGATGCTATCAGTTGATTTTCATTTTGTGCATTTGATTTATAATCAGACCAGGCCATTTTCAATGTTTCAGGAAACCAATAATTTGGTTTGCCATTTTCGATTAGATAATTTGTTTCAGTTGCATTGGCTTCTATTGGTGTTGTTACTGAAACAAAACAAAGAAAGGTAAATAAAAGGAGTGAAAGACAAAGAATTAACACTTATAGAAGAATATTCATTGAGACATTTAGAGTATTCTAGAATAAGCATCATTATTAATATCGGTGTTTGTTGGCATTAGATGGATGGAGGCAATCGGCACTATTGCTATTACCGAAAGTCTTGATATCATTCCCATTTTACTAGAAACAGATACAACGCTATCACCGAAATGTGATAGCTGAACACAAGTGAAATAATTAAGAGCTTAAAATTCTGTCTAGAAAGTAATTATTTTACATTTAAAGGGAGTTTATATAGACAGACAAATGGTGTTGCTATGGGTTCACCAGTCTCCCCAATAGTTGCTGACCTTTTTCATGAATAGATTCGAAGATAACATCTTTCCAAAGACACTCACTCCTAAAATATGGCCAAGATATGTAGATGACACTTTTGTAGTGCTAAAACGAGATTTACACAGTTAATTCTTGGAGAAAATAAACAATCTATCTCCCAGAATCCAGTTTATTTCAAAAGTAGAATCAGATTTCGGTGAACTACTATTTCTAGACAACGTGCCTAGTTAGGAGGAGGGAAAACGGACATTTTAGTATATCCATATTCAGGAAGAAAACCCACTCCGATAAATATTTAGACTTCTGATGACCACACCCCATCAGTGCAAAGGTATCAGTTGTTTCAAGTCTCCTGAGATGAGCACACTCTTTGATGTTAACGGACGAGAAGGAAAAAAAGAAGGAGAAGAAGAAATATCAAACATTACAGAAACTCTCAAGCAAAATAACTACCCAAAGAACTTCATCAACAAAATCAACACAGACATTAAGTATGGTCGAAAACGTGTTCCGAAAACATGAACATCAACAGTTGTCATTCAATACAGAACATAGACGTCAGACGATATCAGAAGAGTACCCAACAGGCTCGACATTAGAGTTCTCTCCGAAAAATAGGACTCATGTACTGCAAAGTAACCTTGTCCATGTAAAACACCAAATCCCTAAATATTCTGTATCGAATTATGTCTATGAAATAAGATGACCTCTCGGAATGTGATGCGATATATATATCGGACAAACATCGCCAGGGAGAAATCATCAAGATAATCAGAGGAGATGAAAACTGTAGAGCATCTGTTTGATTATCACCAAGAAATCCAGTTGGTGAACTGGAAAAGCTTGAAAAATCACCAACTATAGCTTGTCCACACGCTATAGAATCACGCTACAAAACTGATTTCGACAATGTTGAAATAATCCAGAAAAAACATTTCAGAAATCACAAAGAACGTCTAATATCATCAGAAGCACTTCATATGATCAAGTGGGGCCAAATTGTCAGAATAGAAATGATGATAGGCTTAAACAGAATTTGACCTGCTTACAAAACCACCTTCTCTCCCATGAAATGATAAAATCAACACAGATGTGTGATAAGCAATTTCATTAAGTAAACACATGCTGCTTTTACAACTTTACACACGCCAATGATCTTCCTAATCGCAGTTGATTGGATAATGCGACAGACAACGGGCAATGAGGAAACAGGCATGAAATGGACTCACACAAAAATCTTGGAGGATCTCGACTTCACCGATGTCATATATGTCTGATTTCCCACAAACTAGAAGATATGAAAGTGAAAAGCAACAAGCTGGCAGAAGAAGCATCAAAGATAGGACTTCAAGTGAACATAGAGAAAACAGAGGTGATGAAGATTCTTGGCCAACACCACCACCAACAACAACAACAACAGACAACAATCAGTATAAACGGGAGGAATCTGAAAGAAGAAACCTCCTTCACCTACCTGAGAAGCAGCACCTCAAATGCAGGCAGAAATGACGAGGATATCAAAGCCAGAATCAGGAAAGCAAGACAAGCTTTCATTACTCTCAAGTCTGTGTGGAGGTCAACATCACTCAGCATCAAAACAAATATAAGATCCGGATTTTCAACTCCAATGTGAAGTCAGTGCTACTTACTATACGGATCAGAGAAGTGGTGCGTCATGAATAGCACTTTGAACAGACTACAGATCTTCATAAACAACTGTCTTCACTCAATACTATTCAAGATCAGATGGCTAGCCAGGAAAGATCAGCAACAGGGATCTCTGGCAATAAGCGAACCAACCCAGCAGGAACCGGTTGTGCAACAAATAGGCAGGAAGAAATGCAGATGGATTGGCCATACGCCGAGGAAACCATCAACTGACATCACTAGACAAGCCATTGCTCGAGTGGAGCCCGAAAGGGAAGCGGCGAGTTGGTCGTCAGTGCAAGGGTGACTTGGAGGAGGTCATGTGAGGAGGAGATGAAAGTATGTGGGCAGACTTGGAGCGGGTAAAAAAGTTGGCAGAAAACAGAAGGAAATGGAGACGCGCAGCTGAAGCCCTATGTTCCTCTAGGAATTAAAGGATATAATAATAATAATAATCAAATCCAACAATCTACACCTGGTTATGTTACCTTCGCCAGTTGACCAACTTGACAACTCAAAAACTATCTCATGCTGAGGAACAATGATTAAGTTGTTATATATATATATATATATATATATATATATATATAAGCCGAGATTTTGTAAGTTCTGTTTTAATAATGCTTTGATAAAGCCATTAGCAGCAGCATTAAATAGCAAAACGTCAGTAAAACAACGAAAACATTGTTCTGTTTTTCATTCATAGGGAAATAAAAAAGCAGTCTTTATTGCAATGAATTACTGTATTACTACTTATAATTACCTGTTGTTGAATTGAAAGTAGTATTAACAACGATTAATTTTGTTTCTTTAGGTTCTTCAGATTTATTGAAATATCCAGTTAGTTTAGCAGTAATTGTAGTCATAATAGATGACCAGTCGATAGGCAATTCATGGGCAGATGTTGTTAACTCATTGTAAATTTTATCAGACAAACTTATTTTTTGACACCAACCATCCATGTATGGATCCAAATGGAATAATTGATTAGCAGACAAGCTGTTTAACAAAGACTGTCTTTTAGAACACGAAACCTGAACAAGAGAAAAGAATAATACTTGATAACAGCAGAGATTAATCATCACTGTTATTATTAATTGGGAAAGGAACACAGACAATTATTAACCTGAAATTATTTTGGAAGTCTGCCGCATTTAATATAAGGAACAGGATTTTTGACAGTAATATTAACTTGATCACAGTCTGTTTATGGTTTACAGGCTTGCCACAAACGTCACATTATGCACACTGAATAGCCAGTTACAGACTTTCATCAACAGCTTTCTTTAATGGCTCGACGCTAACGATCTGATGACCATCCGGAAAGAATAAGTAACAAAGAACTCTTGCAACGAACCGACCAAGAACCTGCTGCCCAACAAATATGCTGAAAGAAGCAGAGGTGGACTTAATACACCGTAGGGAGGCGGTTAAGTGGCATCACACACCTGAATGCGGAACAAAAACGAGTTGGAATTAGGTCCTAGAGTACCGTGGAGGAGATTGTGTGAGGAGGAAATGAAAGCTTCGGGACAATCGTGGATTCAGAAAGAAAGAGGACTGCAAAAACAAGGTGAATTGAAAATTACCTGTTGAGGTCCTATGTTCCAAGTGGGACCCTACAGAATAATAACAATACCTCAGGTGACTGATTATCTTGTCCGAGATTTCATTCGTTTGTGATTTAATAATAATACTTTATTTCTCAGCATTAGAGCTATACTACTCTCACTTATAGTTGTTTATAAAATAACACTTCATAGTGTCAGTAGTTTGACTTGCATAATAGAACCATAAAACAAACTTGCAACTCACTGGATTTTATCTTCTATTATTTTTCCCGTCTTAATTCTCAGTTCATTAAAATGTTACCTGACGATGGTTTTCAATATCACAAATTTACGAAAGTTTGACTTCATAAATCTTTTATATTTCAGCCCAGTGGATGAATGGTAACCTGGAGGCTTTGAGTTCCATCTTCAGTGGCTGAATGGTAGGAACCCATGACGAAACAGTCGTAGCCTACTCTATAGACTATTGTGGATGTTTAGTCACTTGTTTAGTCGTTTGGTTTTGCCGCCTTATATATAAGACGGAAGTTGACACTCTATATTTGTGTGAGATTTAAGTTACTGGTTGTCTTGAAGTTGGTTCATTGATTTTTCTACACGTGTTTCTTGTATCATAAGTATATGCTAATAAATTCATTCACCACACTTATTACCTAGTCACTCCTAAACATGACTTGAAGACTGTTAAGCACAGACGCTTGATTGATTTGTGAGTTTTGGGCAAATCTCTTTTCATTTCATTGCATTCAAATTATGACAGATTGGATAAAAGCCAATTGAAACAACATTCACATAGGCTTTCCTCCCCCCCTAGAAGTTCTACCATTCGGCTTCAGGGTACTTAAAATTAAGTAAGCATTAGTGCTAACAACTTTTTACTTTACTATGAATTCTGTATTGAATCAGACTGAGAAATATGTACACTTGATAGTCGTCATTAGGTTTTTTATCACGTTATCGATATAATAACTGTTTTCTGCACCTTGCATCGAAAATTTTCGAAAGAAATGAACTTATTCTTAGTCTGTGTAAGGTGATTCCATTGCATAACCAACCGCAAATTGTGTTTGACCGCAGTGATCCAAGATTTTATATTAAGTCATTATCACAGCATAGTCTTACAATAATAATACCGGTAAAATTCAGACTAAATCTTTTTTAATTTCTGAAAAGATATTGAAGCGATACGACTTTCCACACCAAACGACACTCTGTGCTATTTTCTAATATTGACCAAGTTAGTTCAAAATACAGTAGGTTTCACTGTCAACATTTAGCGTTAAACTGCGATATATACTTACGGTTCAGAATCATTTTAGCATTATTGTAGACTTGTGAGGTTCAAACCCACCATGGTGGGTCAGAGGTCACAACAGCGGAGGCCAAAGACCAAAGAGAAATTATGTTGCTTGGCAGCACTGGTTTTCTTACCGATTCATGAAACCTTGAGACCGACTCTCAGAATAACTGGCGTCTGAACTCTCAACTGCCCAGTTCAAGAATGGACTAGACACGTAGAGATGCTTATTAGAAATGGATTAACCCAAGGCTGAAGCTTCCAATTCTCAGGTAAAAAATTTGAATTTAAAATCATATTGAAAGCATGAATATGCATCTTCGAAATAAGCTCAAGTACATATATTTCTAGTCAAAGTCTTGGAAACAGATACTACGTGAAATAATGTAGGAAGTAAAAGGGTAGTAGCTATCATAAAACATATCTTCTGCAGGAAGATGGATCATCATTATTAGTTTATAGTGCTTGCCACGATTCATTTTGTATGATTCTCTTACAAAATATATACTTACCAAAGGTCTTTGTGAAGCAGCTAACCACATTCTTGGGGAGTCCCAAAACGCCCTCATCTTCATTGGCAGTAAATCCTTTAGACATAGCTCTAAAAATTCTACAAATTTACCTCAAGGAAAGCAAACTCGAAATGTATCGAACTGTTTGCAGACAAAAAATTAAATTTCGCGAAATAATCTGACTCCTAGAAGAGTGAAGAAAAAATTTCGTATTACTTACCTTTCCTAAGCGGCTTATCCCCATGTATATTTCGGGACTACAAAATGTCATAAAGCTCATGACAAGAACAACAAAGGATTTAGTCATATTGTATGATACGTAATCAACAGCCACAGTTTTTATCAAAATCAGTACAAATCCAAGTAATAAATTCCCAAGATGTGCCTGGAAGCACCTTAAAATCAACGAAAAAGTGATTAAAATTCAGTTAACAATTTAGGATTTATTATTTAAGAACGTAAATACTGCAAAATACAAACACCCATCAATTGAATTGCGTCGAAATTTTATGCAGAAATCAATCTATTTAAAATAGAGTCGCCACCACGACCGAAAATGCTGCACGTTTGTAAATGTTTGCAACGTAAAGCGATAACAAATTCATTTTCCATAAACCGCGGTCCAAAATACAACCTTCAATATTCTGGTGTTCAATTTCCTTTTATGAACTGACGTGAACTAAATTGATTTCTCTGGACTGGATTCCTTGTAATGAGCTTTTATCCTCTTCAGAATTCTATACACACCTTGCTATTATTCATCTGTCCAGACTAAAGATATCTTAGGCAAAGTTTTATGGTAGTTTGATTACATCTGACTTACAGTTAACAGTAGTAATTATTCAGTGAGTGATGTTAATACTTTCACTCATTAGTCGTCTGAAGTAGTCGACAAGTGACGTAATGACGAACATAACAATAAAGTTGATGGCCTATTAATGGTCTTCCCCGTATGTTAGTCATGCGTCGTCATGCAGCTGTCTCAGGAGCGTGTATCAGACCCATTTCAGCTTCATTCAGTGTGTTTTTGGATGGTAGGTTCACGGTTGCCTTGTTGCCTGGAAGAGTTCCCTGTTGCTTATCCTCTCTAGGTTGCTGAATGGCCTTCAGCAAAGTAGTCAGAGGGGATAGCATTTGATGGGTGTGAAGTTTCTTGCTGCAAATGCTTTTTGTAATGTGTATGCCAAGTCAACTAACAATATGGAAGAACTAAGTCGATGTTCCTGTCAAAATTTTGTGGAGCACAGAAGATTTCCACACTAATTTCAAAGTAGTCAACATCTACCTTTTTCTCAATCAGCTCCCAGATTATTTCGACATCCTTATCTGTGACACCTTCATTTGATGTGATGCTGCTGTCATTGGTGACTGGTGCTAGCTGCTGTTTTTGTATGTTTGTCACCACTTTCTTCCCTGCCACCAACTCAAAAAATTGAAATATCAAATTCAATACTGTTCTATTGACAATAAACCACCAAAGCAAGTCAATTTAAGCTTGAATAGTCATAAAGCCAAAAGTTACAGTTTCAAAACTTTACTGGTTTAAACGGTTACACGTTCAAATTTTGTGTCTTCAAGGTCTATAAATAAATCTCAGTGTAATTGACAGTTATACCTACCTCCGTGGTGCTGCAGTCTTTGGCCAAACAGAAAGTAGGTAGATCACAGTAGGGTTTGTCACCCCCAGAGTAAACCACTTTGAATATAACAGTTCATTGGGCAATCTTTCAATATTGACAGCAGTGACGGTGATGAGCCCTGGTTTCATCGAAACTTTGGTTCCTAGAAGTGCGAATGGAATCAAAGCATAACGCATACAACGGCCATGGGAGTTTACTAACAGTGCGTGAAATAATGAATAAGTGGGATGGGAGTAAATTACATAAAATGCGGAATTAACGCCAGGAGATCGGACCTTTAATTCGCTTTACGATACCCTTCGTGAAAGACTGCCAATCCCCCTGATCATATTTTTCATCCAGACTTCCTTGTTAAGGATCCGAATGTGGGTTTGAAGGCATTCATACAAATGGTAGTGTTACACTGATTCCAAGACTGCCAACTGTGTTTAAAGATATCTACTTAGAAACAGGAAGAAATGCAGTACAAACGCTGCAACAATATTTGAACGTATTATAGCATTTATACGATGTCTCCGACATATGCACTTTCCATCACTTCTTTTTGTTAAAGAATTGCTAATGTACCTGAAGCACTCGGCCGATATAAGTCTAATGCAATCAGTATGGAATTTCCGCTTCTCTTAACCAGATGCAAAATTATTTTTACCAGTGAGTCAGATACCCTCATCTAGTTTTAAACGCAGAATAAACCTGAAGGAATTCATTGATTATCTCAAGATTTACACCCTAAGTACGATGTCTACAGAGCATCTTGTCACATCTACCAAACTTTCTCGGCTAGTGTAAGTGAAGAGAGCAGGCCTCACTCTTACAAGTCCGTCAGCTGCTACACACTGATAATGATCGCCTGCAATTACGCTGACGAGAACCATTTTACATTATTACAGGTTTGCCTACTCCAAATTGTCGCTTTTGCAGATGCAAACAATCACGATTGCCTACGTAAACTTCTGGCACAGACGACCCCTTTCGTTGCAAGCTAGAAAGATTTTCGAGGTGAGACCGAGTTTACAGTATCCTACGTGTGCTTTGTATGATTCTTCGCACACATCGGTATCCCTGTCAGCGAATGGCTTCGAGGCACTGATTTCGTCTCCTGGTAATCTAAACCTGTATGTCTCAACTGAGATAAACGTCTGGGTGCATTGATGATTGCATGGACTTTCAAAGGTTGTACTGTTACATCCGTCAAGTGTGACAAACCCATTTACGGGTCTCACAGATGACATTTTCACACCTAAAGCTACTTTAATCCTTCATGCAAAGGCAATTCACCCTATGTCGTTCGAGTCAGTGTCTCAAGTAACATGGTCACAGCCTGATATGCATCCATATTGCACGGAGTGGTATTTCAGTAGGCTACATCTATCGAGTAAACAGGTTGAAGCAACCCTGTATGATGTGTAGGGCTTCAATAATTAGTTAATTCTGACACTCATCCGAAAAAGGGTGCAGAAGTGAGGTAAGTAAATCTTAACTTTGTTACCATTCATTTTTTATGTATTCGATGAATGGACATAAAATTAGATCTCGCAGGTAATCAGTTGCAAGAAACAAGTAAAACGGGTGTGTAAAACAGTGGACAAATGTACCCAACAGGAAAATTTTTTCGTTAGCATTGGTAAATTCAGCATAAATATGGTGTCAATCACGTCTCATAAACCGTTAATGCCCAGCTCTCGCTACGCTCGGGCCCACGCTGTTCTTCGAAGATTTCAGAAACGCTTAGTTATAACGGACGCAAAAACCAAAACACCGATCTGCCGCTTGATATTTGTTTATTGTTACACCAACATATAAAAGGAATAAGCGAACTAAGGTCTGTAAACAAATATTACAATAATAAATCATAAGATTACTTCTGACGATATTTTACTCTTCTTTCTGAACAGCGACCGATGAGACGATGACTGTCGTATTGATGCCTCCGCGAAAATCGGGGAAGTTGATTTTGAGCAAACAACCAAGAATTGATCGTTCAATCTTCAACTCCATTGACACTCCCCGGCAAAAAAGGGATCCAACCCTTTTTTCCTTCACGACCAATGCACGTTGACTTGGATGCCATTGCGAGAACCTGGGTCACACGGACAGAGCTGAAATGGAAAACAAACAGAAAAGCCAACACACCACAAGCATACCCACAGCACAATCTCACACATCGCTGACGACCTGCGCCTCCAGACAGAGACCTCCTCTTGACATCTTGCAACACAATCGCCACTTACTAGAATGACTCTTGCAGAATGCAACGTGACCATAGCAGCACCTCATGATACTCTTCAAGCATCCTCTTTTCTATTCACTATCAATTATCACTGAAATCGCTTGTCACTCATTCTGCCTCAGTTCTAGTAGCGGTGACGCATGCGAGCCTCAGTCGTTTACACTCTTTCTCCCCGGCGTGTCGGACCGCAGCTAACAATTATCTCCGTGTGCATTTCATTCTCAGCAATAGCCTAGCCTCCCCGGCGTATACGACCCATCTGCTGTCCTTAACATCAATCAATTCATTCATGGATGTAGAAGACTCGAAACAACTTCAGAAGTAATCACGACGAAAATTTTAACAAAATTACGCAATAAGAACAAGATACAAAAACAACAAGTAAACACAATGAATCCAAAAACACCAATTGATATGACACACCACACGTATATACAAATAGTACAAACAACCTCGCGGATCATGTCTTGATGGAATTCCTTTGAAGAATTGCAGGACTTACACCAGTACGCCTACAACCCTTCACAGGTTGACGATTGTAATTTGTGGAATGTCCGGACACAAACAAGATTAACCAACAATTACATCAATTGGAACTCACACAACTATTTAACACAAACATATGTACAATCACCACATCAAATGTTGTGGATTCCGGCATGACAAACTACCCTTGAAGAACTGTAGGACTTACAGCAGTACGCCTACATTCCTTCTCAGGTTGATGATCCAAGTGGAAGTCGTCCGGACACAAACAGAATTACCAACAGCTAGATGACAGATGATATCAATTCAGTATATACAATATGAACATATGTACAAAATCACACACCAAGCACATTGGACTGCTCATTGATGCGCTACCCTTTGAAGAATTGTAGGACTTACAGCAGTACGCCTACAACCCTTCTCAGGTTGACGCCCTAGGTTGGAAAATCGTCGCAGAGTTCATTTGCTAACTTCCTTCTATCAGCTATATCCTCAAATCTGAACGGCAACACGCCCATGTCATTGTATCGTAGAATATAGATGACCAACAAACACACGACATATCTCATCAACCAAGTGTAGAAACAGAGTAATTTACACCAAAGATAATAACATTCAAATAGTAACTTGAAACTAGAAATGCCTTTATTCGTGCAAGTCAATTTAACAATTACTCTCTCCTTTACACTTGGCTTATCCTCACTAAACTGACCAATATCTTTCGTCTTTTCAAACGCACCAATACTATCATAGTCATTGCACAAGATACTTGAGTTGATGGGCATCTGTTTCATTGTGGATGAAAACACCAACGATGACTGAGTGACACAAGGTGATGAACTTAGCGGTGGATCAGAAGCTGTTCTTGTTCGGCTTTCAGATAGTTGTCCAACTGCAAGATTACCACCACTGCTGTCTTTCACTACTAGTTCGGGTTTAGCACTATCATCTGATGATAGGTGGGCTACACGCTGATCAATTACACTGACTGTCTCACAAGTATGCACACCTTCTGGAACTGCATCTGCGTTCAATTCTACTTCACGTTGTAGTTGTACAGAACCTTTATTTAACTTAGCAGTAGTAGGCATATCCCTCATCTCATAATGATCAACCAAAGACAACTGTGAAGTATCATGATCATTACCACAAATATTCAATTTACCGTCAAGTTCATCATTTTCAAACTCTTTAATAACAGAAGTAGACAATTTTGGTTCCTCCTCGCAAATCATAAAAGGTTTTATAACTTCACTCTGACTAGTAATAC